AAAAGCGCCAGCCTGACCCTTTCACAGTGGGAAGTTATGTCCGGGTCAAGATGTCTTAATTTTCTGAAGAAGAAGGCGTATCACGAAAACTTCTTCCTCAGTACTACGGTCCCTGGAAGGTGCTGAACCGAGTAGGTAATGATTCTTTCGGTCCTTCCTACACGATTGATGTGCCTGCTCATTTGCGCACATACCCAGTCTTTGCATCAAAGTTATCCCCGTATGAGCCACCTGAGACATTCAAGTACCGAGAATCGATGATTCCCCGCGCAATCAATGGCGGTCACGAGGTTGATAGAATCGTCGAGCACACTGGAAAAGGGAGAAACAGACAGTATAAAGTACATTTTTTGTACCACCCACTGAATGACTTCTACTGGATCGCTAAGGACTTCCTGCAAAGTGCACCTCGTGTCGTTAACGCCTATGAACGATTGATAAACTCTGACCAGCAACCAAAATTCACTCCTACCCTAACTCCTATGTAACACACCCGATCACTTTTTGCTATCTATGCCTACGATGCATTATGCAAGGACTCTGATTGAGTTACTCGCTCGAAGGGACCTCGCTCTTGAGGGGGGGGTAGTGTAATGACCCGTCATAGCACAGACTGAGAACACTACTGATTTCTGAAGTTCTGCTAATGGAATGATGCCTTGTTGAGATTCCCGCATTCTGCTGTGTTTTCTAAGTCTGTCACGGTGTGCGTGTGTGCTGACTTGCGTGCCTGTCTGAGTGCTTATCTGTCTGAGTGTGTGTGTGACCCGGAAGGGTACTTGCTCGTTTGGCAGGCCCGTAGGGCCGGTACTTACCTGTGGCTGTGGCATTGAGGGTTGCAGCAGGGGAAACACTCAAGTGGCGAAGCTAGCGGCCCCGCGACCCCTTGGAGTAGCAGAAAAACACTCAAGTGGGCAGGTAGGCCGATACCGCACCCCACTGCAGTTGGCACGGAGGGGGTACTGGAGGCCGAGCAGAAGAAGACAAAGTTGGCATTTTTAGAGTCCAGTAGTGGTAGGTTAGGTCTAGGCCGGTACCAGTCCAACCAGTCTGAGTCTAGGGCCTGTACGGGTAATATCAGGGTCTGCAATGATGTTTCCCTCCGAAACGGAGGAAGTACCGGTTGCTTGGGGAGGCCGAGCGGCCTGGAAGTCACCGCCCAGGAGGCAAGTAGGCCGCTATATCAAGAGGCCGGGCGGAGAGCCCAGCCTCATTCTTCAGTGTGCAAGTTTGGCGACACGCTGCTGGAGCGCTGGCTGGAGTAGCGCTGGGTACTACAGCGCTGCTGGGAGGAAGAAGCCGGGAGCTTCCACCTTGGCTCATCATCTTCTTCTTTCTCACTTCTTCTTCTTCCTCTTCTTCTTCTTCTTCTTCTTCTTCGGATCTTTGGCTCGTTTTGCCAAAGTGGTTGGGGGTCCCTGGAGATCTTTGATCACCCAGGTTTACCCCCGCCTAAGGGAAAGTACTACGCACTGAGGATGGATGGGGTATGGGCTTGTTCTTCGATCGGTTTTTTCCTTTCTTGTCTTCGTGATGTCTATGTTTTTTTTTTTTCCTCCCCGCGTTTTTCTCCCCTGGGTTCTCAATTCCCTTTCTTCTCAGGCGGTTTTTGCGCAAGCGGTTTTTAGGTGCTTTTCAGTCTGTTCTGGTTTTTGTTGGGTTTCTCTGTCTCGGTTCCTATCTGACCTCCTCGGGCCTTATCCAAGCGGGTCCGCTGTACCTGGTCAGTAGCGGGGAATGGGAGAGACTGTATACTAGTCAAGGATGGGAAAAAAAAGGGAAAAATAAAATAATAAAATTAAAAAATGGCTGGAAGACAGTCGGAAAGCGGGCAGCCTCTGATCCTCTGAGTATAGGGTGGGTCTGGCACTCTGTCGGCATGGTACCAGACTTTTTGGGCACACGTTGGCCCAAATTGGAAGGATTGGGTTCTTGTCCCTTCCGAATGACTGCCCCTCTGTTTTTCCCGCCTTCTGGATCTCCCGCTCAACGGTCTGTGTGCACAACGGGAGGGAAAAAAAGGCTACCGAGTGAATGGGTACCATGATCAAAGTATGTATATCAAGACAGGCGAGGGTAGAGTCTCTCCTTTTTCGGGCCGTCATATATGTGAAGTGCGCTGGTTGGGGAATGCGCGCTGGAGTTTTTTCCTCGAACGTGCGCTATGGCTAGCGGTGGTTGGGATCCGCTGATGGTTATGATCGGCCAGACATGTCAGAAACACGGTGGGGTAAGGAAGGATGGTGTGAGGAAGAGAGAGAGGGAGAAGGGAAATAATGGGTTGATTGATGATGAAGCAATACGGGGCTATAAAGGATGAAGGTGGGAAGACGTTCCCATCAGTTTTTGGCTTACCCTCCTGAAGAGACTTGTCACGCACAAGTCGAAACCGGTAGAGGGATTGCGTGGGTTTTTTATGTGGTGTTTTGGCGAAGTTATGCTTTGTCCTCCACTTTTGAGCAGTTGTCTTCTGTTCGTTCACCCTTGATTTCTTCTTCTTTCCCTCTCTTTCCTCTCAAGTTCATTCATTTCTTTTTGCAATTGGATGGCATTGTACTTTTAAATGAATGTATACTTCCGCTTTGGCCACGATCGTAACACCTGCTTAAGTTATTCCCCCTTTTGTGAGGATAACTTCCCTGCAATCCCCAGCTTTCAAGATGTGAAGTGCAGGAAGATGTCTTCGCTTCCATGTAAATGAAAAGGCCATCTGAAAAAAAATCAATTTGAAGAGGATCAGGCTTCACCAATGCCGGAAATGATGAATACAAAAAAGGGGAGAAGGAGAGAAAAGATGAAAAAAAGTTAAGAAACTATGTTACCAGATGTCCGATCGGCGGACGTCTCAGTCGGATGTCCGGTAACACCATTGTCCAGGATCCCGGACATCGGGTTTTCAGGCGATTTAAAGAAGCAAAAAAGACAACAAAGGGGGGGGTGTCTGCCCACCTCATGCAGACCCCATCAAAAAAAATCCAGGTCATTTCGAATAAAGAAAATAAAATGTCAAAGAAGTTGGCGGGGGGGGAAGGGGGGTGGAGGGTTCACACACACACACACACTCACAACTCTGGGTAGACGGGTTCAACCTCCTGATGAGTCAGTAAGATTCTGACGAAACAGTCTGGCATGGTCATGCTTTTTTTGAGCGTATAGCGAATGTGACAAAACACACACACACACACACACACACACACACACACACACACACACACACACACACACACACACACTCACGATCACGTCTCTCAGGGATATTGCCAACTCTCGGTAGATGGGTTCAACATCCTGATGAGTCAGTAAAAGCCCGACGAAACAGTCTGGCACGGTCATGCTTTTTTTGAGCGTACAGCGAATATCACAACACACACACACACACACACACACACACACACACACACACACACGTGTGTGTGCACATGAATCCAATCGGAGGTACGACTCAATTGTTAATGAACGAATCGATTGAATCGATGCAATGGATTCAAATCGATCGACTCGATTGGATCGACTCAATCGGTTCTTTCGCTTGTCATGAATCAATCCAATCGATTCGATCTGTTCAAATCGATTGGATTCGAACCAATCTCAAATATGTGTGTGTGTGTGTGCATGTGTGTGTGTGTGTGTGTGTGTGTGTGTGTGTGTGTGTGTGTGTGTGTGTGTGTGTGTGTGTGCACATGCGCACACGCGCACACACAAAGGAACCATTGAATCGATCGAATGGAATTGAATGGATTTGATTGATTTAATCAATTACTCAATCAATCAATCAATTAATTAATCAAACAATTAATCAATCAATCGAATCCATTCGATTGATTAATTGATTGAAAAAAGAACAGAAAAGCAGCCACTTTTTTCTATATTAAAAATCCCCCAATTTGGGCCGTTGATCTTGAAGATCTGATGGCCCTTATTTTGCCTTTTTCGCGGGGGGGAATTTGGAGCCCTTTTTAACCTCTAAAAAATAACTTACCCTTCCCCTACTGCATAGAACACTTTTACCCACCCCCGTGCCCCCAAAAAATAGGAAACGCTTCCCCCCATTTTCTTCCCACCGGTTGGACGCCCCTCCCCCCCCCCCCCTCCCCCCACCGGACGACCAACTGGTTGTCCAGTTGGACAGTCCTGGATGGTCAGGGGGGTCCTGAACGTCCGATCCGGTATCACAGAAAAAAAAGAAAAAAAAGGCTTCACCAATGCTCATCGACAAGCAAATACCCACAAAAGCATGCAGTCAAAGCCAACGAAGAAGGTCACAGCCAGCAAACAAGGGGGATAATACAATCATAATAGCACAACAGCAGTGGTCACAGCCAACGAACAAGGGGGATAATAACCACAACAGCAAGTGGTCACAGCAATAAGGCTGTCACCGTAAGTTTTTGTTTTTCATGCTTTTGATTTGTCGAAAAAAGAATGCATTGGACAGATCATCAAAAATTTCCAGACCACCGACACAGGAGTTGCTCAGTCTGCAAGATAGAAAAGTTAAAATAATTCTTCAAAAGGGTATTATCTTGTGTCACTGTTTCAGTCATACTACAACCTCACCACAAGCAGATATACCAAACTACTTGGGGGTTTCAAAATTGGAACTTCATTTTTTCCTGTATGATGGACCAAGCTTTTTCCCTGAGCAGATGTCCTCCTCTTCCCCCAACCCCCTCTTTCTTGGGGGGAATGGCCCTGTCTGGTAGCCCCTAAACGTCATGTGACCGCACCCGTCTCAATTTGAGCGGACAGACCAGACGTTTGAACCCATGAGTCCTGACTAGTTAAAAGACGCGTTCAAATAACCAAAAACAAATAAAATTGATATGGATAGATCAGCAGTCCATACTTTAACTTTTCAAGTTTATAGTAACTTACGCCATATATTTAATATTATTTATCTGCCAGACAGGTGGTGAAAAGTGGTCCAAGTGGTCCTCCTCCTCCTCCTCCCCCTCCTCCTCGACCTCCTCGTCGGCCACCTCAACATGCAGCACACGCTAACTTAAAGCTGTCATTTACTCTATTCAAATTTATTTCTGAGAACTTAAAACCACCGGTACGTTTCCCAGCCATTTTCGTCCAACGTGGTGGTCAACATGCAGCAAAATCCGACTCACCGGTGGGTCCTGCAGGGAGGAAAACGCTGGCTGCGCCAGGCAAATAGCACTCCGCTGAAATTGGTGTGCTGCTGAAATCCGCATCCGGAAAAAGAGTTTCAGCTGTACCGGTTTGTGGTCTGAGAAGTATCATGAGGCTAGAAAGAATAGTACCTTGGCTCTGGTGCTAGTTTTCCACGTGGCGTGATTGTCTTTCTCTGAGAGTAGAAACTTTTCAAACTGTGGGAATTTCCCACAAACCTCCAGTGCCACGGCTCATACATGATACCCTGCTCATTATCCCTAGGAAAAGACAGCTCAAAATTGAATCTGATGACATGCAAGTCACACACACGCGCGCACACACACACACACACACACACACACACACACACACACACACACACACACACAAACAAACAATCAATCAGTTTCATGTGTCTCTATTTTTTTCTGTGTCATTCTTCCTGCTTTTTCTGTCTGTCTTCCTGGCAATTTTGTTTACTTTTTTTGAATCCTGCTGAGCAGTGAGCACCTTTAAGTAGTGCCAATTAGTCGGTCATTCCTCGTTTGGAGTGCCTGCATGATACATGCCCAGTTGGGCAATGTATGTAGAGCCAAGGATCCGCAMAGTGATGAAAAGGACTAAATGGACAATGCAATGTTTAATGAAATCTCAACAAGCAGTGTACATCCTGATACATGCAAAATGGCACTTTGTAGCACAGTGGGAGACTT